CCATTCCAGAAAAGTCTACTAAAAGTAAAATTACAGAGATGAAAATGTCAGCAATCATTATTTCTTCATAATTTGCTAAAGAAAAAACATAATTGAAATGAAATGCCAAGAGATTACCAGCGTGAATCATTAAATAGCCAGTTTTAATAGTAAAATGAAGTGTAAACCCTGAATTTCTTGTCGTTTCTTTTCCGAGTTTTCTAGGAAAATGTGCTCATCTACGAATTTCTATACAATATTGGCAGAGGATTCATAATTTTCAATTCTCTTCCTCAAGCAAGCAAAGAAGAAACTTTAAAAACAAACCGACAGCTGACCTTCAAAATTCGAAATTCAAAAAAGAAGAAAAGAAAAAAAAAAAAAGGTACCATGGCTTGACCGAGACCTAAAACATCCCATCTCTCAGGCAAGACGGAAGCCATAATTTCCCCCTCTACCTCATCATCTTCGTCTTCAGTTTCCCCTCCATCTTCCTCCTCCCTATCTCCTCCTCGGAAACCCTCGAAATCTCCATTAGCTCTCGAGGTCGGAGAAGCAGAAACCCAGAATTGCCCATGTCTCTTTCTGGCCATAAAATCGAGTCTGAAGCAGTGTGTAGGGCCATAACAGTGAGAAAAGACAGCGGGAAATGCAATCTTATTAAGAGAAGAATGAGGATATAGAGAGAAAGTAGGAGAAGAAACGGCGGTGGCGAGAGAAGAAGGAGAAGAAATAGGAGAGAAGAGAGAGAGATACATGGGAAGATGAGTGATAGAAAACGATTGACGTGGAAGGTATTGTTGTTTCAGGTGGAAGGAGAAGCAGAGACAGGCATCTCCATCCACATAGGTAGTGAACTGAGGTGAAGAAAATGGAGGGTCTCCTCTTTCCTCCTGTTTGGTTTCCCGGAAAAGAGAAGAGAAAGAGAAGAGGATAAAACGCTTCTTATTTTGGCTGCTGGTGTTTTTGTGGATAATACGAATTCATTACTAACAGATTCAACAAATTTTTCACCACCTTTTGCGATATAAATATAATCTTATTTTGCTATTTAAATATTCCATATTACATTGTACAAAAATTGTTGGTGTAATATGATAATTTTTATTAATATATTGATTTAAAAATAAATTGTATTATAATTGCTACTAATATTATTATTATTATTAAAAAAATTATAATTTATTGAAAAATGAAAAACTATATTTTTATATAAATATATTTTGTTATTAATTTTTGTAATTAATTCTCAATAAACATGGTTGGGCTAATCCTAACTACTATCATTATTATTGAGACAAATTAATAAATTAATCTTTAAAATTTCATATTTGTTACAATTTAAGTTTTAATATTTTTAATTACAATTTGGGT